AGCAGCTACCTATAGTGGACCTCATCATAGCTACAGAGTCAGCAATTACGAAAAACATATTAACAGAAACAGAAGCAGAACGGCTCAGCCTAAAGGTATCAGCAGCCCTTTCTAATGTGAAGGCACCCCCTTCCAACCTCACCATCCAAGAAATGAGAGCTGTGACATCACTGAGCAAGGATAAAAACATCACCATCTTACCAGCGGACACACACTACTAATGGACACTAACACATATGAGACACTGACGCACGACCCAACCAGCGGGTAGAAGAAGACCACAACTTCAGAAAGAAAACTCCATCACCCCGGGAACAGTATTAATGTTTGTATCCTGAAGAAGCCATTCCATGCATATATGGACTACCCAAAATACACAAAGACGGAGCCCCACTCAGGCCTATTATCAGCAGCATCAACTACATCACCTACAACATTGCCAAACACATATCTACCATATATGTGGTTTGGCAACCTTTGGTTGGTAACACGCCCCCCCACATCCAAAAACTCCATTGACTTTGTAAAAAAAGTGTGGTGTATAACATATGTGTATTTGACCATAACAGTTTAAAATAACACTCTAGCAGCTGGAAAGAGGCTCAGTGAACCCTCCTATGGAATTTGACCTCTGACCCAGTGTTAGGGGGAGTAGAGATTAGTGTTTATGAAGGGACTGAACTCTTCTATGGTGTCTAACAGATGTTTACACTTATCCTACAGCACTGTGCCCTTATATGGTATTTGGCAGATACCTAAACATGTCCTATATAAGCTGTGTTTGATGTACAGAGAGACAGAGTCGCCATCGGGCTGGGTCACTCTCCAAGCTGCTGCAGAGCTTGTAATTGATGCTGAATTCCTTGATGTAATAAACTTTTATGATCAAGAACAGTGTCAAGCGGATTTCTTCTCAACACATCATCACAGCATTATTGTTCAGACACCACAAAAGTTCGAGGAGTAAAACCGGACCCAGATGAAACCACGGTGTCCTAAGATGTGACCTCTTTGTTCACGTGCATCCCCACCATGTAGGCAGTAGAATCCGTAAAGAAATTGCTACTACAAGACAACACCCTGGAAAACTAGAGCTAGCCTCAGCCCTGACCAGATCTGTAAATTACTAGACCTCTGTCTAACACCACCTATTTCCAGTACAACGGAGGATTCTACAGACAAAAGCATGGCTGTTCCATGGGCTCACCTGTGTCACCCATTGTGGCTGACCATCTACATGGAAGAAGTGGAGGAAAAAGGCTTTAACTCCTGTGCTGGCAATCCGAGGTTTTCAAATAAATAGCTCAGGCAAACACTTGTCTTTCTGTGAATTTTCTTCAAGTCTTCTGCAGAAGGACTCACAGCAACACACATACATGCATGTATGCTTGAATGAGTGAGGACAGCTGAGTGAGCCTGTTATTTATCCAGCTTTAGGGTCAGTCAGAAACAATTTGTCCCTGAAGTCTGGATAACAAAGAGAACAGAGATATTTGGACTGTTACTTGTACACAGATTCAGTGCCAAATCACACATTAGTCTCCCTGAGTCCAGGGTTACATGCAAAATGTCTGGAATTCCCATTACACTCCTTCAGAGGAACAGCACCGAGCCACTGGTACAGGTATGTACTTAGGTCAAAATAAAAAACCCAGGAAGTGCAAGCCTTCACAGAACACATCAACTCCATGGACAGTAACATCAAGTTCACACGAAAAGATGTCCACAACAACAGTTTGGCCTTCCTGGACTGTGCTCTACACACTGAAGAGGACAGGAGCCTGCAAATTGGGTTTACAGGAAACCCACACACACACAGACCATTACTTTTTGATTCCCACCACCCACCACCCACCACCCACAAGCTAGGAGTCATCAGAACCCTGCACCACAGAGCAGACTACATACCCACAAGTGCAGAAGCCAGAGAGAAGGAACAGAACCACCTGAAGGGGGCACTTACAGCCTGTGGACCCTAAACGGACCTTTGTGAAAACAGCCACAAAATCCAGGAAGAAGAACAAAACTACAGGGGAGGAGGAAAAGAAGGTCAAACACAACAACATTGTGATTCCATATGTGTCTGGAGTATCAGAGAAACTCAGGAGGATTTTCAACAAACACAACATCCAACATCCAACAACCCTGTGTTTTTTAGATACTGGTACACCCCAAAGACCGCACACCCAAACACAAGAAAAGCAATCTAGTGTATATGATCCAGTGCAGCGAGGAATGCACAGACCTGTACATTGAGGAAACTAAACAACCACTACACGCATGGCTCAACACAGAAGGGCCAACTCCTCAGGTCAAGACTCTGCTGTCTACTTACATCTGAAGGACAGATGACACTCGTTTGAGGACCACCAGGTGCACATTTTAGACAGAGAATGGAGATGGATGGTTTGAAAGAGGTGTCAAGGAAGCCATTTACACCCGGGTTGAGAAGCCATCAATGAACAGAGGAGGGGGTCTATGCCACCACTTAAATTGCTGTCCTTTCATCACTTCCCAGGAAACTGAACAAGCATTTCCTCTTGGCCTCAGGTGTAGATGCCAACGATGGTCGTTCAGACTTGGCCATGACGGTTCTAATGACCATGACGACTGTTGTTACCACTGTTGTTACCACAGCCAGAGCGCTTCGACAGGGCAGCTGTGGCGCAGGAGGTAGAGCCAGGAGGTTGCCTGTTAATCGGAAGGTCAGTGGTTCAATCCCCGGCTCCTCCAGGCTGGATGTCGAAGTATCCTTGGGCAAGATACTGAACCCCGAATTGCCCAGGCTGACTTCTCTTCATGCAGAGCAAGTAGGCTACTGTACTCTGTGTTGACATTTTTACATCCAGTAAAGTTAGGTAGTACTACTTGCAACAAATGTATCATATCAACCAAAGCAGTCTGAAAAGAAGCTGCGCCTCAAAAACACCCGCTAGCGCGCCCTGCTGGGCGTTTTGAGAAGAGCAGCTGGCGTGAGCAGCTGGCGTGAGCAGCTGGCGTTTTCAGCTGGCAAAAAACACTTTGGTGGACATGGGCCCTAAATTATTTTTCAGTTTTCAGATGAGTCTGAAAAAGTGGTTGTTAGGAAAAGAAAGGATGGAGGTGACTGGATGATCTGAGGTTAGTAAAGCAAATTAGTGATGCAAACTAGTCCTTTAAAGCTAATTAGGTGACGTTTCTTTTTGGATTTTAATGTGCAAATAAAATGCACCTCAGAAGGGAGGTGCATGTGAAACTCATGTTGTCTATTTTTTTATATTAATGTCTACAAATAAATGTCAAAAGCTGTAAAATATAGACACAAAAGGCAAATATGAACAATCTATAATCTATCTATAATGATTCTGAGGTCATATCAACAGGGTTGTAGGGGGTGATACCCAAAACATGCTGTGCCATAAATGTAAAATAACTGTGGAGAGCATCATAACCAACCAAATTACTTTCATCTAAGGTCACATAAAATTACATAAAACTATGGATAAACACTGAAATTTTAAGCTATTGTAATGTGGATTTTGTTGGGGTTTTATTTTCAGAAATAATACACAATATGTGCACAATTTATTTTTCTGTGTTTGCTGACGGCACCCTTTCCTGCGAGTTCTAATGATGAATTATATTATCCTCTACTGCCATCAAGTGGCCTCTTTTGTGTACTAATTTTAGTTCTAATTTGTTTAATCTTTGTTAATAATTCTACTTTTACATAGTAAATTTAGCTATATTTGACTATAAAACTTTGTCCCAACATTTGTTATATTTTTGGATGATCTAATCTTAACATTCACCATAAGAACCATGGAGGTAAAATCTTTTTTAAAGATAAGCATGCATAAATTAACACTATTAAAACCTCAAAGGGACATATTGTAAAGATCAAAACATGTTCTGATTACACAATCACAGTTAATCAATCACTTATTGCGTAAAACCCATCATTCTTTGTTATGTGATACTTTTCACATGGCTGGATGTCTTTCCTCAGTAGGGAGTATCCCACTTGGCGCAAAATGCTCATTATCCCCATTATCTTGGCAGTGATGTTGACTTTGTTGGTTATCCTCCCTATTTTTTGGTTACAGACATTACTCATACTCCCCTGCCTAAGTCTGTTAGTATGCTAAGTATGCTCACAGATAGTAAATAAATCAATTAATTTGACTAATTGACGCAAAGAATTTGCATTGATGCTTCGTTTAATCCATGTAACTATACAGCACACTGTTTCACATTTATTACTGTTGCACATTGTGCTTACGCTGTGAACAATGGAGGAAGAGAGAGAAAATAGCAAGGGACGAAGAAGAAAGTATCTGAAGTATGGGATTATTTCATGCTAAAAGAAAACAACTCTGTAATGTTACAGCCTACCCATTGTAAAATGAAACTGCAGACCTCAGCTGTAAATGTACACACGTGCGTTTGTTGTTCTCCTGGTGGGGCCGTGAATTTGGGTTATAACGTTGTAGTCATGAGTTAACTTGGTTAGGCTCGACTGCACATCTGCCAGGCTGCTTGAAAAGCAGTCTATTACGTATTTGGGTTCTTGGGCCATAGTTTCAATGGCTACCTTTTTTTTTTGCTCAGATGGGAACCCATTTGTGAAAACAAATCAAGCAAATCCTCTTTTTCACTCTCCTCAAGTGTGCCCTGAAGTGCCACCACGCAAGGAAACACATTACTTTTAAGTATTGGTGGAATTTTGGCTTTATGGTAAAATGTATGGACTGTCGTGATGGACTCCTACATTGACCACATTAAAGAGGCAGTGTGGTGAGTAGTTTGGACAGTTCATTTCACTACATGTAGTAGGGTGTGTTACAATACATGTCAGTAACACTTGCCTATCTAGGCATTCATTGTGAAATACGGATGGATGGCTGGCAAACATTTATGGTGCTGAAAAAACAAGACCATGATATCTTGACCAATACTGTCAGGGACAGTTTTAGTTTTTTAATACTGCAGGATTATACCAATGTCAAGTATACAACATTCATTGTGTCAATGTTTGGATCTGTGTATATCAAGATATGTCATGTCAAAGTCCAGCAAAGAAATATGAATACGGACATACGTAACGATGAGCTTGAGAGCGATGAGAGCTTATTTGGTGGCTTTGCGGAAATATTACATGAATATAAAATGGGAATGAAAACAAACAAAACAAAAACATGAACCTATATGATGCTACAAATAAGGTTAGACTTTAAATATAACCAAAAATCTATTACCACATATACTTCTGGGGGTTGTGCACCAGTCTCATCAGAATGGTCTTCTGTCCATAGAAGAGTTGTAGGAAGGTCATCAACACCATCTTCAGCCAAATCTCTGTTGAAGTTTGTCATAATAACTCCCTGTGTTGCACATGGGTGTGACATGCTGAACTGGACTCAACGATGCAAGATCATCTGCTATCGAGTGTTGCACTGGACTTGAGTGTTCTGCTGCTTGGGGTGGCAGTGCGGGAATCCAAAGTTGGATCTGTTGATCAGGTCGTCTGAGTTTTTTGGGATGCTGTTAAAAAACATATATAGTAACAAAAAATACACAGCGAGGTGAGTTTTAAAGAAACAAATAAACAGTTGCTTGACAAGCATTTCCCCCATCAATCTACACTCAATAACCATAACAATAACAATTTTTGTGAATTTATTCAAAATCAAATAATATTTTTAATTAATCTACTGTATAAAACAATAAAGTGTGGAAAACTGAAGCAACTTTATACTGTAGTCATGTTTTTTTAAATTATTTCAAAGTTGAAGTCCCCCCAAATGTGTGCATTATCATATTTTCTTTAAAAAGTAAGAAAGGTCCTTGAGAATTTTAAGAGCTTAAGCTGAATTAAAAAATACTTGTTGTATTGTAATTGTAATTTATGAAAATCAGCTACACATTCGAAAAGCTGGCATCGGTAAATGTAAATTTTTTCTGCTCTACATATTACCTTTTCGTACATCTCACTGTCATCTGAGGAATCTGAGACAGATGCCTAGTTCCTCCTCCATTCTTGGACCTCACTTGATGAAAGTCATCATTTGGAAATGCAGCCACCCAACCTCTATCCTCTGTGTGCTTTTTTTAGCATTACAATTTTTATGTCTTGCCATTACACCAACATTCTGCACAGCAGAGGTTCGACTTGGTTCTCCAAGAGACCCAGCCTTTTTCATCCGTCTTGTGGCAATCTTTTGGCAAATCTAAAACTGCTTCTTAGTCAGTATTTCCTTCCCTCCTGCCAAGCGGTTGCCATATGAAGAGATATATTTTGCCCTTTCTTCATCTGTCATAATACAAAAGACAGCTCGGTCAATCGGCAATTAGAAATTAAAACTCAAAATTACTTACATTTCTTTTAACTGAGTACAACTCAAATGGGTGCAGACAACATTAATCTGAAAAATGTTTAGGCTACAGTATATCAGAAATATATTCAATACTGAGTGAATAAGTTATTAATTTGAAAGATCATTTTCAAGGGTAGTTATATCATTACCTTGTCCATTTTCATTCAGTTTATATCTTCTTCTGCAACATTCCTTGACTTAAGGAAGTCCTCAATGTCCTCCTCCATGTCTACATACATAACAGTTAGTTATTAATTCAGTCATTTTGACCTTTCTTTACATTCTTTAATTTATGCCAGACAAAGCTGACATCTCATATTACATATACTGTACGCAAGACAAAACTATTTAAAAAAAACAGACAAAATCTTATTAAATAAAAATGTGTCACATGTAAGTGAATCTTTAAAGAACCTCTGAGGAATTAATGTCTCTTCAAGTCTTTCCCAGTTGGTGAGAAAAGGCTGGTGTTTCAACTCTTTCATTATGGAAAGAAAATCCCTTTTGCATGGTAAAAGTCACATATTTATCAGCATGTTAGCAAAATGTGTCCACATTAGGCCCTCACAGATAAGAGCAACTGCTAACTTTTTACGTAGCATTATGTTATTAATGTAAACAACAAAGTTCTAATAAACAATGGCTAATTCCACAGTCCATTAATTGACACTGCATGTTGTCGTCTATATGTTACAGATGCAGCAATGACGACATTAAAGTTAGCTTACTCACTCAAGTGAACATTGTGAAGCTAACGTTCATTGGAGGACAACAATCCTGAAGTTTATAAACAACGTATTAACAGGCCTACTGCTGCAATGAAAGACAATCTGCTGCAGAAACCGTAACGTTAAACACACTGACAACACCACTGTTGTGCAAACATTACAGACTAAAGGAGTTGGACCACCTCACTATCAAAATCACTGCGTTTTTCCCCTTTGCCCAATGCTGACATTCGATAGTTACATTGTGTCATTTAAAACACAAAACTTTACCTGAAATGGACCACCTGTCCGTACACAGCTCATGTAACTTCACGTCAGGGCACCTAAAAGGAGCTGGGAGCAGCTGCCTGAGCCAAAATGACAGCTATGGCTCAGAAGTAACGGAAGAAGATAGGTATTGCTAGGTAACGCAAAAGTATTGTGAGGGAATTCAAAACATATTGTGAGACGCAAAGTATTGCGAGGTACTGCAAAAGTATTCCGAGCAAATGCAAAGTAGTCCTCAAAGAAAATCCTCGCTGAGCCCTCGGAGCCACCGTAACAATGCAAAAAGTCTGCAAGGCTTTAATTGCTGCAAAGGGTGGATTATTTGATGAAAGCAATTATTATTTCAATTAAAACTATATTTCTAACCTTGTCAATGACAAAAATAACAAGGCGATTTTCTCAGAGCCCTGACTGCATTTGTGTCAGTAAGTAAATTTCTGAAGCAGTAGGCCTACTGATTTTTGAATTCCAAGTTGTGTCTCTCGTTTCATGTGTCACAGTACTAATGGTTAATCTACAGGTTATTTAGTGCTTTAACACACCCTGTCAGAGTTTTTCAGTGTAAAAATAAATCAAGTTGATATGTCAGGAGTTCCTGTCGGGACGAAAGTAACACTTGTTACTTTAGCTGAAAATAACAAGTGTTACTTTTGTCCTGCTACAGTGACCACAAGTGTTTCTTTTGTCCCGCTGCTAATGTGGTGAATTTCTCTGTGTTGCAGCATGTATTGAAACATGTTTATGTTGTAGAGTGAGGGTTAGAAAGACAGACAGAGGTCTGATTCAGCCAGATGTTTTCATGCACATTTTGGAATTGCGTATAAAAACAGCTGGATAGAAACATGACTATCTTTGCATTATTTTGAGAATTTATATTTATGTTATGAATATTCATTTTCATATTATTGTTGAAGAAATGTTTTATAAAATGGATTGACATTGCCAATAAAAATTATAAATACAATGAAAATGTAATTTATAAATTTTTGTGCAAGGACAAAATACATTTGCAGTTACATATTTACAAGGTCATAGGTCACGTATATTTAATAAGAAAAAGGGAAACACAAAAAATCTAGTTGTGTTACTTTTGACCCAACTGATGGAGTTGAAAGTAACAATGTGCCTCTTATGTTTAAAGTGAAATTATATGGAAGTTGTTCTACATTTGTACAAAATACCACCTGATATTCATAGACCACACCAGTTAGTGACTATAGGAAAAATATATCACTGTCTACAACATAATCTTTTAAAATCTCCCTGCTCTCCCCTAGTGTATATGTATGTGTGTGTGTATATTTATATATATATGTGTGTGTATATGCAGTGGGGAGAACAAGTATTTGATACACTGCTGATTTTGCAGGTTTTCCTACTTACAAAGCATGTAGATGTCTGTAATTTTTATCATAGGTACACTTCAACTGTGAGAGACGGAATCTAAAACAAAAATCCAGAAAATCACATTGTATGATTTTTAAATAATTAATTTGCATTTTATTGTATGACATAATTAAACATAATTTTTAATTAGCAAGTACTCTTGTTAAGTAGTGTTACGGCAAAAAGGATAAAACTACATGAATATTAAAATCATCTACAGTAACTGTATCTGTTTTAAGGATAAAAATTGATATGGACCAGGTGCTCGGTATACTGTAACAAAAAGAATTGGCTGCAGTAGGGCTGACCCCCAATAGTCGAAGATTCAATGCTTTGATGGGCGGAGCCTAATTCGACTGTCAATCTCACAGTCGAAGCTTCGCAGTGAAACAAGGATCACGCCATTTTGGCAATATGGGGGTGCTCAATGTCTGATTTTACATAGAACTACCAGTTTTCTCCCAATAACTTAATATACAGCCTATTACAATATACATTTCAACATTTATTGCTGTAAATAAACATGTAAAAAGAATAAATCTTCCAATAAATATCCAAAAGTAAAATCCAAAATTGTAACCCTAACCCTGGGTCGTCAGTGCGCATGTGTAGGTGTCAATGTAAATGCTCCGTATTTTTGTATAGCGCCTTTCTAGTCTTTTGACCACACAAAGCCCTTTTACACTACATCTTCAATTCAATTCAATTCAATTCAATTTTATTTATATAGCGCCAAATCACAACAACAGTTATCTCAGCGCTTTTCATAAAAGAGCAGGTCTAGACCGTACTCTATGATGCTATTTACAGAAGCCCAACAGTTCCCACCAAGTTTTCTGGCTCTGGAGCTGTGGAGTCTGGATCTGTGGCTGCGGGTCGCCTGCTGCCCCCGTGTTCCTGCTCGACACCCTCTACTGCAACGACTATTGTTGCTAGTCTTATTGTTATTATAATCATTAACATTACGATGGTTACCATTAACACTATTATAAATATCTGTACCATTTTTCATTTAGTTTATAGCAACATTACCTTCGCTGTCTGTACCTCTGTGTGTATATTGTGTAGGCTGCCTCCCTCCCCTCTCTCTCTCCTTACATCCCTCTCTCTCTCTCTCTCTCTCTTCTCTCTCTCTCTCTCTTTCACTCTCTCTCTCTCTCTTTCTCTCTCTCTCTCTCTCTCACCCCAACCGGTCGAGGCAGATGGCCGCCCACCCTGAGCCATGGTTCTGCTCGAGGTTTCTGCCTCTTAAAAGGAAGTTTTTCCTTGCCTCTGTCGCCTAGTGCTTGCTCTTGGTGGGAACTGTTGGGCTTCTGTAAATATCATCACAGAGTACGGTCTAGACCTGCTCTTTTATGAAAAGCGCTGTGAGATAACTGTTGTTGTGATTTGGCGCTATATAAATAAAATTGAATTGAATTGAATTGAACCAAGAGCAAGCACTAGGCGACAGAGGCAAGGAAAAACTTCCTTTTAAGAGGCAGAAACCTCGAGCAGAACCATGGCTCAGGGTGGGCGGCCATCTGCCTCGACCGGTTGGGGTGAGAGAGAGAGAGGAGGCAGCCTACACAATATACACACAGAGGTACAGACAGTAAAGGTGATGTTGCTATAGACTAAATGAAAAATGGTACAGATATTTATAGTAGTGTTAATGATAACAATCGTAATGATTATAATAACAATAATAACAATAGGACTAGTAACAATAGTCGTTGCAGGAGAGGGTGTCGAGCAGGAACACGGGGGCAGCAGGTGGCCCGCAGCCACAGATCCAGACTCCACAGCTCCAGAGCCAGAAAACCTGCAGGAAGTGATAGGAGGAGAGAGGAGAGGGACGAGTAAGCACAAGACTACCAGAAAGGGGAGAAGTTGTGTTAGTAACACAGGCAGTCTAGGCCTAGGCCATCTGCATTCATCATTCACACGGAACTGGCAGAACAATTGCCAGGGTTCAGTATCTTGCCCAAGGACACTTTGACATGCAGCCTGGAGGAGCTGGGGATTGATCCGCCAACCTTCCGATTAATAGTCAACCCGCTCTACCTCCTGAGCCACAGCCACCCCTTTTTTTTTTTCCTTCACAGGTATTAAACATTTATTGTCATTTCAGAGGAATGTTTACATTAAACATATGTATTGTTTCCATAGGAGAAATGCAGATTTATAAAGAATGGATACTAAAGGCTGACAGAATCAGAATCAGCTTCAATTAAACACACTTTTTCTTACAAGTTAAAATAAACAAATGCAGGTATGCATGTTACAAAGACAGAGTGTAGAGAATTTATGGTTCATAATTGAGGTGTTACAGTGAAAGCAGATGTCTTATGCTGTGGCGGTGGGAGCGTACTGCATCACTTGTCTATCAAACTCATTCTCCTTAGCTAAATAATCTTTGAGGTATGGGTGGGATCTGTGTGCATCTTTCAGCTGAGAGAGGTACCCTTTGGTTACGTCAGGAGCTTTGCCCAGGTGCTGGGTCAGCACAATGAGGTTGATCAACGTCTCATGGTGACTGCTATCCTTGTCAAGTGCCTCCTGTAGCACTCCCTCAGCCTCCTCCTACTTGCTCTACAGTAACAGTATGTAACAGGCCGCCTGCCCGTTGAGGAGCAGCAGTGTAGAGGAGTACTTAGTTTAGTTTAGTTTAGTTTATTTGTTTAGCACGTTTGGTACAAGTCCAGAACAATGCAAGGAGGGAACGAAGCCAGACTAGGCTTGTACAGAGTTCCACTCCTTTTCCCATATTAAGTCACGAGATATGCAGACTAAGCATCAAAGTAGAAGAAAAAAAGAACAACAACAAAAAACAGAACACACTTGTCAGACATCTCCTGGAAAATGTAGTAGGCATCCGCGTTCATCTCATGGTAGTAGATGGAGCAGCCGTGAGGAGGAAAGTGGTGTTGGCGGAACCAAACTCCTTGCCATCTTCTTGTCTAGATCAGCAACAATAGCATCTCTTTTGCTTTCATTGGATTTATACTCCGCAAACATCCTGACAGCCTGAAGCTGGGGTGGAGAGTTGGCCTTGATATCATCCAGGGCAACAGCATACTTCCTCTGGGCTATGTATGCTCTGTACAAAAACATGTCCCTTTGAGTCTCCTTCTCTGGTGTTGACGGCTTCACCTTTTGAGCCTTGTTCAAAAGGTGAAGCCGTAGTGCGCGCGTGTCGGATGGGCTTCACTGGTGTTGTGCCGAGTTGTCCACACCTCGCTGGACTTTTGGATAATTTATCACCTTTAATGAACCACACAAAGAATATTTTATTGTTTTTTTAAATAGCCGGCTACTTGAAATAGGGGTAACCGCAACGTGCGTGTAGTTGTCAACAGTATAGAATGCATGCAAAACTCACACAAGACTGGTGAATGACAGGCGAGAGAGAGAGAGCGATCTTCAAAAAGCCTCAGTTTAGCTGGATATTTACAGTGTAAGTTGAATGAATAGACTGCAGCTCTGCATCTTCTCAAGATTAAAGCTGAGCTACCGTGTGCGACCCCCCCCCCCCGCACACAAAAGCACACATGAATCAGTGGACTATAGGCAGGACTTGACAATTCTGATTAGTCTATGTAAATCCTTAGTCGGGGACAGTCCTAGGCTGCAGTGTTTTCCAGGTTGGGTAGTTGGGAACAAGGCTTTCAAATAATAATAATATATAAATAATTATAAATAAATAAATAATTTAGTTTAGGTTTAGAGCTGATTAGTAGGCTAGAGTCGAAGATAGATGAAACTCCACCTCCTCGGCCTGTGCCTCGAGGAATGAGAGTATTAATTTGACTGTGAGGCGTGGATTCATTTAGGCTAACATATCTCCATCACCCAGCCAGGTTTCAGTAAGACAAAATAAATGATAATCTGATATTAATTTCAACTCTGCAGCCTGGTCTCAACTCTGGATTGTCATGGATTTGGTCCACTAATAAACTTGGCCAGGTTTCTAGATATGAGCTGCTCCATCATAAGTGGGATGGATGCCGTCTCTCCGAATCAGACTATGGCCCAATCCCAATGTCCACCCTCACAGACTTTGAGGCGCGTTCCTGGGAAGTCCGTGAGGGCTTAGGGCTGTCCCACTGTCAAATCGTCAAGTGTGCGAGGGCTCTCTTGCAGACATTTTGACTCTTTTTGTAAGTCCGCATTTCTGCAGACTTTGGCTGAGGGAATTGCTCACAGTTCATAGCGGTATGACGTGACACACGGGGATTACCAGGGGAAGCCTGGAAGTAAAAGAAATATCACGGCAAATCCGCGTATTAAGTGAAGAAGAAAGACGGTAAACAAACAAGCATTGACACCAAAGCTGACGTTATGTTTGTGCAACGTGTTTCAGCGTCTTCAAGGTAACTTCCTGTTTACAGCATTGTGAGCCCTTGCAGCCTCTCAAACTCAATCACTTTCCAAGTGACATCAGTAAAGTCTGTGAGGGTTCAGGGCTTAGGGGGGACATTGGGATTGGGCCCAGGTCTTGCCCAGAATGTCTGCCAATGAGCTACGAAGCCCACATCGTTTGCTGGACACCACCTTGACAACCAGCAGCGAAATGATGACATACATGTCATCACTGGTCAGATTTGGCAGGGTTCCAGAGAAAACTACGGTGCCCAACATTGTTTTTGCATATGTACGACTCAACGTTAATCTTGTCAACCCCTGATGTGAGAAATGTAAACGGGTTGGTGTTGAACAGTGGTCTTAAGCTTAGGGCTATTCCTCTTTTGGACAGTCACCCAGCCTCCCTGGCTTCCTGGGTGCTCAGGAGATGCCAGGGGACAGCTACCTCAGACAGGAACTACCTCTGGCCGGTCCGCACAGGCTATTTAGGGCTGGCTAACTACAGTAGCTAACGATTGAGTTTCCAATTCATTAAGCCTCACTGCCAACGCGAAAAAAAAACTACACTTGTTATATGTACCATTATCATTAAAAGAGGCAGAGAAACGGCTAACTCTCTGTAAGGTACTTTGATAATTGATAAATGCTCTAGAAATGAAAGCTTCTAAATATTTGGCACACCGAATGGGAGAGGGAGAAGCCATCGCTAGCTGCCAAGCTAAAGTAACAAAACAAAAAGCCCTTTTAACTGTGTCCATTTAATACCTTTTTCCAGAGTTTTAAACCACATCTCACAGGGACCGCAGCCTTCATCAATGGCCTGATTCTACCCAATTTGGTGACCTTGAGAAGTGGATTACATTGCTCTTTTTGTGTCTCCTACTTTTTCCAAAGTCAATACAAAACTTTCACGCTTGACACATCAAGTGTTTCTAACAGAATTTAATTTTTTGAGTCAGGGTAGAAAGAGCACAAAGGCCATACAACTCTGCACTGACACTCAAAATAATAACAATAGTCTATGTATACTGTAGGACATCAGAATCAATCCAGGATAAAGTCTGCAATCAGTGTACAGCACTCATACTGTCACAGCATGACTCAACCTCCTTGTGTTTTAGTTCAATGGGACTGTACAGACAACCACATGGCTCTCATGATCCCAGAGTGGGCCGTGCTGAGACAGCTGTACACTTAACACACAGACAGCATTGGTAGTATTCATCATTCTACAATAAATGTGTAGAGAAAGGTATATTCAACATATAAGAAGAGTACGACACTGACACCAAAGGAACTGTTACAAAACTTAAAGATGCATCAGCAAACCCAAATCCAACCCTGAAGCACATCCGTCGCAGCTGAGTCAGTCTTCTTTCAGTATGTACAGTATGGACGTATGTGGATGTCAGAGAGGTTATGCTGGTGTGCTGACTGTACACTCTGTGTGTGTGGTGTCTATCGATAGAGGTAATCAGCTTGTATGTTGGCAGCTATCTCAGCTTCCCACTTGTCTCCATTGTTGAGCAGCTTCTCCTTGTTGTAGAGCAGTTCTTCGTGGGTTTCAGTGGAAAACTCAAAGTTAGGACCCTGAAGAAAGAAGGAAAGATGAAGAGAGGAATGTAAGAAAGAGAGGTAACAGCAGGAATAAAAGGAAAAGAAGAAAGGACAGATGTAAAGATGAGGATCATCACATTAAAATAACAGTTAGTGGTGGGGGAAACTAAGCTTTCTTGAGCACTGAACAAGCAATTGTCCAGAAATGTTTGATAAAGTGGCGGCATCTGCTGGGCAACCATTGGTATTATATTGATGGATTAATTGCAGATAGCTTACATAATTAATTAATTAAAAAATGCGCTCCTTTGGCTCTGATGCAATCGCCTCTCTCTGTCTGTACTCACCACTCTGTGTGCCGGAGCAGAGTCTGCCCACAGTACTAGCTAATTGGTTACAAGTCACGAGTAATAGCCTATTAACACTGACTATTGTACAGAAGTAGCCCATAGAACAAGCAAGCCACCACGCTGCAGCCGCTGCCCTCCTCTCTCAGCAAAGCTCCGCACACACATACATGGAGCAAAGCTAGCGGAGACCAGTGTAAATTACACAAGTTCACCATAAGTACGGCAGTTACTGCAAGTGCCGCAAAACCAGCAGTACTGGTAAAAGGCTGATTCACTCAGTATTTTGTCAGAAATGTCAGATTGTTCCATTTGGTTCCAGTGACATTTATTTATAAATGGGAACTTACCTGCTGTAAACCTTACTTTTATTGCTGCTTTGAAAACAAGTTATAATAAAATATTAAATTTGATTACTGTTCTGAATGTATTAATTCTTTTAAGTTAGGTCAATTCTGAGAACCTGCAGAAACCCTGAGTTCACACTGTGCTGTAACATGGGATAATGCACATACCTCTACGATAGCATCCACAGGACACGCCTCCTGACAGAAGCCGCAGTAGATGCATTTGGTCATGTCGATGTCATAGCGAGTCGTCCTCCTGCTGCCATCAGCACGAGTCTCTGCCTCGATGGTGATGGCCTGGACACACACAGTGTTGGAGATGAAGAGACACAGAGCAGACAAAAAACTGGCATAAAGCTCTGTCAGTTACCTGGTATTTACATAGTTGAATGTGCTGACAACAAAAATCACACAAAAATTATCAATGGAAATCAAATCTATCAACCCATGGAGGTCTGGATTTGGAGTCACATTCAAAATCAAAGTGGAAAACCACACTACAGGCCGTACAGAACGTTCTCCACGGCGTCTCCAGACTCTGTCACGTCTGTCACATGTGCTCAGTGTGAACCTGCTTTCATCTGTGAAGAGCACAGGGCGCCAGTGGCGAATTTTCCAATCTTGGTGTTCTCTGGCAAATACCAAAAGTCATGCTACCACTAGAGTGAAAGCACCGCCAGCATTCAAAAGTGACCAAAACATCAGCCAGGAAGCATAGGAACTGAGAAGTGGTCTGTGGTCACCGCCTGCAGAACCACTCCTTTATTGGGGGTGTCTTGCTAATAGCCTATAATTTCCACCTGTTGTCTATTCCATTTGCACAACAGCATGTGAAATTGATTGTCAATCAGTGTTGCTTCCTAAGTGGACAGTTTGATTTCGCAGGATTGTCATTGACTTGGAGTTACATTGTGTTGTTTAAGTGTTCCCTTTATTTTTTTGAGCAGTGTACACACACACACACACACACACACACACACACACACACACACACACACACAAAGATAGATGTGAGGCAATCAAGCAACATATGCAGTGGATGTTGTTTGTAAGTGTGGCTGTGTGTGTGTGTACCTGGGCGGGGCAGATAGCTTCACACAGCTTACAGGCAATGCAGCGCTCCTCTCCTGAAGGATACCTAGTGTAAAGTCATTACAAAGACTGTTAAGGTTTAATCTAGAGTGCTGTTTGTTAGGTAAAGTTCGTTCATAACATTGACATTGGAATTCTAAATCATGATGGTCCCATTTAGAGGACAATAACACCTGAAGGGGATGCTTTAGCACAGCGAACTTGTGCTGTCTGTGTTTTCGTCTAAGAGCTTTGGTCCTTTTACAATTAGGCCTGATGATGACTGGGCTATGGACAAGCTATCAGGGGAAAGGCTACCTGCAGGGGACAGTAAGCGACCGAAACAAGCGTAATGTTGATACTAGTGCGGGGCTGATAAACGATGCCATCGTCCAATGTGGACCCAGCATCGTGACTGTACTTCCCGCATGTTAAAAAAACAAACAAAAAAAGTCTTAATTTTTCACATTACACCACCTTGTGAAAGCTGTTTTTAATCCCCACGACCATTACCGCCCTGCATGGTCTCTCAGATCAACTGAACTTGGTTTACTGTACATCCCTCGTTTCCGGTTGTCTACAGTAGGTGGAAGGTCATTTAGTGTTAATGCTCCAAAATTATGGAATTCACTGCCCCTTTCACTTCGAAATATTTCATCTGTGGCTACATTCAAGACACAGTTAAAAACATATCTATTTAACATGTATTTCTTTTAAATGTGACTATATGTATCCTATGTGATTGTAAGTTGTGTGTTAGTGTGTAAATGTATTGTAAATGTACCATGTAAAGTGACCTTGAGCTCTGGAAAGATTAGAGACAAAATTCACCAAGACCTGCCCTCAACTGGCACCAACTTATCTCTAAACTCAGGAACCTTAGAAACAGCTGTAGAACTAGATATGTTTAGACTGTTTTGCGTCCCTCAATCTTTACCAACTAACTTCAATAATTTCTTCATCTAAACCATCAACCTGCCTCTTAGACCCCATCCCGACTAGGTTGCTTAAAGATGTTTTACCCTTAGTCAGCACCTCTATACTAGATATGATCAATCTATCTCTATCAACAGGCTATGTACCACAGTACTTTAAAGTAGCTGTAATTAAACCTCTTCTGAAAAAGCCCAAACTTGATCCGGATGTTTTAGCCAACTATAGACCTTCCATTTCTCTCTAAGGTTCTGGAGAAAGCAGTTGCTAAACAGCTGTGTGACTTTCTACAGAGCAATAATTTATTTGAGGATTTTCAGTCAGGATTTAGATCTCATCATAGCACAGAGACAGCACTGGTGAAAATTACTAACGACCTCCTTATTGCATCAGACAGAGGACTTGTCTCTGTACTGGTTTTATTAGATCTTAGTGCTGCATTTGATACCACTGACCATCAGATCCTATTACAGAGACTGGAACATTTCATTGGCATTAAAGGAACCGCTCTAAGCCGGTTTAAGTCCTATTAGTTTGTAAATCTTAACGATGAGTCCTCCATGCATGCCAAAGTTAGTCATGGAGTTCCTCAAGGATCTGTCCTCGGACCAATCCTCTTCACTTTATATATGCTTCCTTTAGGCAATATTATCAGGAAATATTCCATAAGCTTTCATTGTTATGCAGATGATACTCAGTTATATCTATAGATCAAGCCAGATGAAACTCATCAGTTAGCTAAACTTCAAATGTGCCTTCAGGATGTTAAAACCTGGATGACCTGTAATTTTCTAATGTTAAACTCAGATAAAACTGAAGTTATTGTTCTGGGGCCTAAGCACCTCCGTGACGCATTATCTAAAGATATAGTTTCCCTTGATGGCATCGCCCTGGCCTCCAGCACCACTGTGAGGAATCTTGGAGTTATCTTTGATCAGGACATGTCGTTTAAGTCTCACATTAGGCAAATTTCAAGGACCGCCTTTTTTCACCTATGTAATATTGCAAAATCAGGAACATCCTGTCTAAAACTGATGCAGAAAAACTAGTCCATGCATTTGTTACTTCTAGGCTGGATTACTGCATTTCCTTATTATCAGGCTGCTCGAAAAAGTCCATTAAGACTCTTCAGCTGATCCAGAATGCTGCAGCACGTGTTCTGACAGGAACCAGGAAAAGAGATCATATTTCTCCTGTCTTAGCTTCTTTGCATTGGCTTCCAGTAAAATCCAGAATAGAATTTAAAATCATTCTTCTTACCTACAAAGCTCTTAATGGTCAGGCACCATCTTATCTTAAAGAGCTCATAGTACCTTACTATCCCACCAGAGCACTGCGCTCCCAGAATGCAGGATTACTTGTGGTTCCTAGAGTCTCCAAAAGTAGAATGGGCCAGAGCGTTCAGCTATCAAGCTCCTCTCCGTGGAACCAGGTTCCAGTTTGGGTTCAGGAGGCAGACACCATCTCCACATTTAAGAGTAGGCTTAAGACTTTCCTCTTTGATAAAGCTTATAGTTAGGGCTGGCTCAGGTGAGTCCTGAACCATCCCTTAGTTATGCTGCTATAGGCCTAGGCTGCCGGGGGATTTCCCATGATGCACTGAGCTCCTCTCTCCTCTACTTTCTCTCCCTCTGTATGCAACCTCATCCCATTATTGCATGTTACTCACACAACTTCTCCCCTTTCCGGTAGTCTTGTGCTTTCTCGTCCCTCTCCTCTCTCTCCTATCCTTCCTGCAGGTTTTCTGGCTCTGGAGCTGTGGAGTCTGATCTGTGGTGCGGTCACCTGCTGCCCCCGTGTTCCTGCTCGACACCCTCTGCTGCAACGACTATTGTTACTAGTCCTATTGTTATTATTGTTATTATAATCATTAACATTACGATTGTTATCATTAACACTACTATAAATCTGTACCATTTTTCATTTAGTCTATAGCAACATCACCTTTACTGTCTGTACCTCTGTGTGTATATGTGTAGGCTGCCTCCCTCCCCTCTCTCTCTCCTTCCATCCCTCTCTTTTTCTCTCTGTTCCTCTCCTTCCATCCCTCTCTTTTTCTCTCTGTTCCTCTCCTTCCATCCCTCTCTTTTTCTCTCTCTCTCTCCCCCCCCCCCCCCTGTGATTTACACACTTCGTACTTTAACAAACTCCTCCTAGGGATTTAGTCAGATCGACGTCCAATTTCTGCTGTGCCTTCTAAAGGCATTGAAGATGAAAAGTTGTGCTATTTGCGAGTTTTCGTCAATGGGCGTGTCTGAGGCTTCGATGATTCGCCATGAAACAGGAATTAGAACCGAACTTTACGTGCTTGATAACTCTCCCACCCCGCAGACATCTACACACCAATACCGATACCATAGGGGCAAGTGCTATGTAGCTCCACATAGGGGACACAGGAAGTGACATATAACACCTTCATGCGACGTCGGAACCGCGTAGCAAATTCACAGCTGCACCGGCAGAGCTCCAGAATATGTAACTCGGCCGGCTCACACCCAGACGCACTACAAGTGCGAGGGCCTGCTCAACGCTGCTTGCCGCTTTAATTTCATGTTGCTTTTTCTAGAACTTTATCTATACAGGGCAGTTGTTATTATAGGGCCTTATAATTTTGCGGTGCAGAAAACTGAGTGGTTATTGAGTGGGCATCCTCACCTGCGCAGGGCGTGTTCTCCTCTGAAGCGCGGAGACAGCGGTCCCTTCTCAAATGGGTAATTGATTGGTGGCCGGCTCTCTGAACAGGTAGCTCATTGTCATGCCCCAGACCTGACATCACAATAATCACTCAGGTTTGAAGGAGAAAGGATATTTGTCAACTCACATGCAGATCCCATGGACAAAGAACATTTGCTGGGAAAACAGTAGCCAAACCACTTCAACTGGTAGAGATCCTTTTGGTCCATTTGATGTGTAAATGCACTCCTCTTATGAAAATGTACTTCATGAAACATTTATTTGTGACACTGAGGTAATTTGAAAATGATTTCATCAGAACCAATAAGACAAAGAATGAAGAAATTTGTTTCAGTGGTGCTGAGCAGGACAGCATGAAGAAGTGACAAAGAAATGTTTCCCCCGACCTTAATTTTTATTTAGTCTTTATAAAGACTACTTTATAAAGAAAAGATTCTTCATGATTGTTGGTAGAAAGAAAACTCTGTATTAGTCCCCCTTTGTCTGAAAATGATTCCTCTTTCCTGATTTGTAATCAGAGCTGAAAAAAAAAAAAGAGTCATTCTATAATGTGTCACATTCTTAAAGTGTGTGAAGTTCAGCTGACCTCTGAAGAGCTCTGTCCACAGCAGCGTCTGGCAGCTCGGTCTGTGATGGACTTCATGTCTGTAGGGATGTCCTGGCATTCACATACTCTGCACACACAAACACAATCAAGTCAGAGAGCTGTGTGAGTGATCAGGTTAAACATATGACCTCTTACTCTGTCTGTGAA